ATTGAGTTGAGTTTAAAATTTATATAACTTGAATCAAATCAAATTGAAAGATTTTATAAAATAAATTTGACTCAACTTGACTTGAAAAAAGAGAGTTGAGTCGAGTTAATCTTTAAACTCAACTCAACTCAACTCATTCAGAATTCTATCGATAAACTACTACCACTATCACTACCACTACTAATTGAATTTTTTTGCTTTTTATTTGATAAATTTTTTGTTGAATTTTTTTTCCTTAATTAAAATTTTTTAAATTTAATAAAATAATATAATATTATAATATCAATAAACTAAAAAATATCAATTATAAATACCTTTTTTTTAAAATTATTATTTTTTTTAGGATTATTGATTATACTTTATAAAGTATTATCTTTTGTTTAACAAGTTTGATGAATAATTTTTAATTTATTTTCTAACAAAGTATTATTTGTAAAATAAAATTCTTTGGATAATTTTAAATACTTTTTTATCAAACTTTTTATTTTATAAAAAGTTTTTGTCAACAAATATTCATAGTCTTCAAAATTTTCTATTTCTGAAGAACCAAAATATTTTGTTATATCATTACCATAAAATAAATTAAATTGTTATATTAAACAAGATTATTTGAATCTTTTTACCAGCGTTGATAAAATAGTGAATTTGGCAATTTATTTAAATTCATTTGTATTATTACACAAAATATATGCTGACATATAATTCCAAAAAAAGTTGTATGTTTGTATGAATACAAAAACAATTGTTGTTGTTAATCGTATTATACTTTTCTTTTAGATTCATAATTATGATTAAATTAATGAACATGAAATAATTGAATATTTTGAGTTCTAAATAATTAAAAATAAATTAAATTAAATTAAATTAAATAAATTTTATAAAATAAAAATACATTATAATTAAAATATCTTAAATCAAACAATTCTATACAAGAATAATTAAATGCTTGTAATGATTGCTCCTATGTTAACTTTAATATATAACTTGTTAATATTTCTGCTGCTTGATATTCAAATAGACTCATTGTTTTTAAAATAACATTAAATTGATTTTGCCGATATTTAAATAATTATAAATCAATATTACATTGTTCTAGTGTAGATTCAAAAGTTTTTAAAAATCCAAAAGTGAATTGGTTGCATTTATATAATTTTTCATAAGACTATTCATTGATTCTCTGCATTGTGTACTTGTCATATCTGCTAAAAATATATCTCTATTAAAATAAGATGTCCATCTTTTTTTTTACTTTATCCATTCTTTGAAGTTGTTGCCATTTGATTATAAAATTATCAACTTCATATTCTTTTGTACATTCATAAAATTCTTTTGTAAAGTTATGTCAATTTACTTCTAATATACTATATAAATTTTTGATTACATTTTTCCAAAGATGCTATATACATAATACATGTTTACTATTTTGACTAAAAACATTTTGTATAGCTTGAGAAATTGCTTTATCTTTATCTGTAAATATTACTTTTAGTGGATTATTATTAATCATTTTAAGAAATGATTTAAATGTTTATATAAAACTATTAATTATTTCTTAACATATTAAAGTTCCAGCAAAACATATACTTTAATCAAAATTGTTTACTCCTGTAAAAATTCCAAATGGCATATTAATCAATTAACTTTGTATGTATTATCAAAAACAATTACATCTAAAAATCTACAATATTGTCATTTCTATTCTAGATACATTCAAATTACTTGAAGTAATTCATTTGAACTTTCATCAACTTTAATTTCATATTCAAATCCATTAATTTCTCTTTTAAATTGCTTTAAAGTATAATAAATTCATTTATTCCAAAAAAATGACTATGTAATTTATTATCTAATTGATATATATAGTTATAAATATCATTATAAATTCATATTTCCAATTTTTGATATCCTTATTTAAGAATAGATTTGATAGTTAATATATTACAACCTGCTTGATGATAAATTTTAATTCAATCTTTAATTTTTTGTGAAATTATTCTTTGATTATTTAAAAAATTTTTATGCTCAGAAATCATCATTTTATGATTATATTTCAAATTTATAGCTAAAATATGTCAAAGACCAGTTTGTAATTAAATGATGCTCTAATCAAAAAAGGACAATTACATTTTTGAAAATAACGATCTCTTTGATGATTTTTTTCTTTTTTTGTTCAACAACATCTGCACATGAACATAATATAGTTCTTTTTTTAATATTATTATTTTTATCACGTTCTACTTTATTTTTTCGTATTTGAAAATTATAAAAATTTGCAAAATTTTGAACTTGTGCTATAAAATCATTATGATTTATAAATATATTTGAAGCTATTAGTTTGGGAATACACATCTCTTCAGATTTCATATGAAAATGCAAGCGAGAGTTTATTATTTATTGTACAATATTAATTTTATTTACAAAGATAGTATAAATTATATAATATTATACAATTAATTTTCATCCAATAAAATTTGTTAAAACTTATTATACACTTCAGCGCAGGTTAAATATCTACACCTTCAGTGTAGGTTAAGGATGCTTATACTGGAAAAAATGTCAATCACAATCATATCATGTGATTACTCACTTTAGACAACTTTTATAAATAGTTAAATAATTTCTCAGTTTTTAAAATGAAAACATAGACTATAGCTAAAGTATAGTATAACGAAAATGATGTAGAAGCATAGTCAATTTTCCATTTCTAACAAAATTGAAAACGTATTTATGAAGGAGATTATAAATAGCTTAGTTACGACAAGGCAAATGACACGCTTACCAAAGTCTCCACGCAATTATTAATAAAAGTTTAGATATCAAGAGAAAATTAAGAAAGTTAATAGCCATTTGAACACTATTTAGGTTTATATTTTATATCCTTTTAAATTATTTAAGCATCCAAAACTTATATTTATCTGCAACTTTTAGTTGTGTAAAACTTTAGTTATCCAAACTTTAGTTATCTAAAGCTTTTAGCTATCTGTGACTTTTAGTTATCTAAAACTTTTAGTTATTTGCAACTTTTAGTTATGTAGAATTTTTTAGTCATAGTTATTCAGAACTTTTAATTGTCTCATATAGACTAATATTATTTTATTTTCTATTATCAGAATATTGCAAACATGAAACGCATACTTTGCCAAAATATGAATAGTAAAATATTGATACAGGAAACTACCTACAATTTTTATTTTACTCTGATATATAAATTAAGTCTGTTTTTACAGGTAATCCAGTCAATAGACAAAAGCAAAAAAAAAAGAATCATCTTTACTAAAGATTAGAATAAGAATATAATAAACTTTCAGCATAAAAATGTCGTCATGAATTTTATAATAAACATTTTTAATAACTATTATTATATTTGCAGAATAAAAAATTAATTGACATATCTGCCTTAAAGAAGATCATTATGGTGTATAATCCTATGATAAGGGTTTATTCACAGGTTTTTACAATTTGTTATATGAACAGGTTAAGCATAATAATAATAAAGCTGAAGGATTCGCGAGTTATATAAAAGATACTTTATCATCATCATCTCTGAAAATGGTAGCTGAAACAGAAAGTGTAGGTCTAATAGAGATGTTAATAGTCTTAGATATTTAGAAAAAAATGATGATGATTAATCTCTTTTTTCAGTAAGCCTCTGATATAAAAGTTTTGAATATGACAGCGAAAATTTTTAGCTAGAAGTTCAAATGTGAAAATAAAGGATTGCTGTGATTGTCTTGATATCTTGTATAATATGGTAATAGGACATTTAAGTGAATTCACTTTCCTTTTCAAATTATAAATTGATGATAATAGGCTTTCGCATCTAGCTCCGAAATTGATAATAATCACAAAAAAGGTAATGTAGTACTAGAAGTAAAAGAAATATATCAGATTAAAGGATCAGATATGCTTACAGATAAAAGTAGTAAATATGATGCGGTTTATAAATGATTATAGGTATGCTTATTAAAATGAGAAACTGAATAGTCTTTAAAAATTACATATATAATAGAATTATGGGAGTGATTACAATCTGTTTTCATCTGAGATAGCGCAAGAACAATATGTTAGTAAGAAGTTTAATCCAATAGATATTCAAATAATTCAAGTAATATTTTATCATTGATTTCTATTATGGTGAAATATTTTGAGAAGAATTTGTCATCAAAGTTTGAGTAAGTTTAATGTAAGTTCATTCTTCTGATTCACTAAACATAATTTACATCAATATGTCAATTTAATCCTGCAAACAGTTACATTCTTGATCTTTTCTCGAAATTAACAATTGTAAAAGAATTTATACTAGAATATTGTTTCAAATTAATTATAAATTGTCCTAACATTATTACTGTAGAATATCATAAAAAGTTAGATGTGATATTCAAATGCAGTCAGACCTCTATACAGCTACACTCTATATAGTCATACTTATATATAAACATCTATTTTTACGAAACTGATTTTAGTATTATTAAATTATCTCTATATTAGCTATAATCACCATCACACAAAAATTCCTAACATACATATTATTTTTATTAGTAATTAAACTTCTAGTGATCACATAATTTTTTATTAGTCAATTTAAGTATTCTATAAAAGGATCTTTTATGTGACATTTTTGGTAAATGTATTGGTAAATATATAAGTAAATGTATAGTACAAATTATAATCTATTCTCAAAATTATAAATTTGTGTAATCTGTTTCAAATTATAAATTTATATAATTCTTGAATAAAATTTCTGTTTCTTTGCTTTCTTTTTTTAAAAAAAAAGACCATCCCAATTTTTTTCACAATTATTTCGATAACTCTAGATATTATGTTATAACTGAAGTTAAAGTAAAGTGTTTTAGACTTACATGGTTATTTTAATTACCATTTATTAGTCTATTCTTCTCCTATAGAAATTTATCTATAAACAAAAAGAATTCCAATAGTAATTTGTTCACAAAGGGATTTTTTTTTAAAATTATTATTTTATAATACATTTGATTATCAATACAGCATCTGTAACATATTAAATCATATAAATTCATAGAAATGGATCATAATTTAAAAAAGAAACTTTTTCAAAAATGCCTTCTGTTAGATCTAAACCAAAACAGCATCATTCAGCCATAAGTGATAACATAAAATGTCAAATATGTAAATGATCAGTAGCAAATGAAAGTAAATAACACATAGATATTGCAAACTACTTCAATAAAATATACTTTAATTTAAAGATTAATAGAAGCATAATTTCAAAGATTCTGTTACAAAGTAATAAATGAAAAGCAATAAATGTTGAAGATTCTGCTCAAAAATTTAGATATAAAGAAGTTAAGTTTCTAGTTCTTGAGTATATAATGAGTCTATAGATAGAAAATGTAATAGCTAGTGATGTAATATTAACGGATTTGTTAATAAAAGAAAAGGCAAAAATTTTTGCTGAAGCTTTTAATATTTAAGAAGAAAATTTATCTTTTTCTAATAGTTAGCTACATAAGTTTAAAAGACGTAATAATATTTGTAGATACTGCATGCATAGTGAATTAGGAAATGCATCTTTAGCATCTTTTTTAGAAGAACATACAAGGTTACAATCAATTTTAAATCAATATACTTCTGATCGAATTTATAATATTGATGAAATGGTAAGTCTTTTTCAGTTTTTGTTATTACTGTTATTTTTGGAATTGTGAAATTTGTACTTTTTAGAAGTTTTAAGAACTAATGCAAAATGTTATAGTCTGATTGATTAAATACGTATATAATTAGGAATGCGTAGTATTGTAGCATAAAATGTGATATAATTTGTGTAATTAGCTAATATTCTTTATTTTTTGAACATAGGATCTTTTTTATCAAATACCTTCAAGTCAAATACTCTTAATAAAACCAGTTCCTAGTCAAAAGAAAGATAAAACATAAATTAAAGTTCTTTTTAGCGTGAATGCAACAGGAATTGATAAGTTAAAACTATAGGTAATCAGCAATTTGAAGCGCCTGAGACCTTTTTCAAAGGTTAATTTAGAGCGTCTTTCCATTTATTATTGAGGTAATCCTATAGCTTAGATGAACTCATTAGTATTTGAAGAGGTTCTTCATGAAATAGACAGCTATTTCAGAGTACAAGATAAAAAAATCTTGCTTCTGGTTGATAATGCTCTATCATATTTTAATCCACATTATTTATCAGCTATAGAAATTGATCAAGATGAAGATGAATCATCTACATCTAATAAGATTAGGTTTATTTTTATTTTTATTTATTTTTTATTTTTTTATACAGTGACGAGCAAAAGAAACGCAACCACTATTGGTTTCTTTTAAAAGCTTATAACAGGTTAACTATAAGGGCTAAAATCATAATTTTATATTTATTTTAAAGTCCAAATCTTGAAGAATAACCTGATATAAATTTAATATCTAGTTAATAGTGCCAAATTTGGATAATTTAATGATTTACATCAGAATTTCTTACTTAATAGACTTTGAGCATAAAAAATTTTTTTTTGGTAGGCTTGCTACTATAAAACTGATACCAAATTCAGATTTTTCGCAGTGCGATGATTCTAACAAGTTAAATTTCGTTTAGATCAGGCCTATAGATCACGAAAAAATTGCTGATCAAAGATTGCCTGATACTATATAAAATTTTTTAATCTAATTTTTAATGTAGTGTCGGGTGATCTTTGATCGGTAATTTTCTCATGATCTATAAGTCTAATCTAGACGAAATTTAGCTTGTTAGAATCGTCGCATTGCGAGGAATCCGAATCTAATGTTAGTTTTATAGTAGCGAGTCTACCAAAAAAAATTTCTATGCTCAAAGTCTATTAAGTAAGAAATTCTGATATAAATCATTAAATTATCTAAATTTGGCACTATTAACTAGATATTAAATTTATATCAGGTTATTTTTCAAGATTTGGGCTTTAAAATAAATATAAAATTATAATTTTAGCCCCTATAGTTAACCTGTTATAAGCTTTTAAAGGAAACAATAGTGGTTGCGTTTCTTTTACTTACCACTGTATGCTAATTATGTAATATAATTTAATGATAAGAGAAAGTTGAGCTTCAAGAGGTCTTAGTGGTTATGATGGTGGATTAAGAGATTATGGTAGTTGTGGTAATAGATTAAGAAATTATGGTAGTCGTGGTAATAATGAACTAAGAGATCATAGCAGTCATGGTAGTGGTGGATTAAGAGGTTATGACAGTCGTAATGGATCAAAAGATTGTAATAATCATAATAAATCAGAAAAACATCAATCTGACACTCCTCAGCTTTAACTAACTCATATCAAAGTAGCTTTTTACCTCCTAATATCACAAGTCATCTTCAACCACTTGATGCTGAAATCATTGCAAGTTTCAAAAATCATTTCAAGAGAAAGTACTATTGTCATATGCTGGATTTATTCAAAGATGAAAAAGTCATAAACAGTAAAAGGATTAATATAAAAGAAGCAATAAGTTATGTTGCAGAAGTATAGGGTTGCATAACTGAAGAAACAGTATAAAACTGTTGAAAGAAAACTGGAATTTTGCCTTCTTTATCTGATGAAAATAAAGATGACGTATTACAAATTCAATAAAAAGTAATAGATAATGAAACAGCTGATATTAATTAAATAATCAAAGAGCTTGATATAGATGACTCTTCTGCTTTTTTATTGGCAAATGCATTAACCAATTTTTTTCAAGACTTGAAAGAAATTCCAACTAAGAATATTTTAGATGAAAATAATATTATAAGGCTAATCTAAGAGAAAATATGTGATAAAAATAGTGATTCTGAAGATAAAGAAATCCTAGTATCTCCCAGTGATGCTTTCAAATCTTTAAAAATCTGAATTTTATTTTTTGAGCAGCAGAATATTAATGTATTTTGTGTAGAAGATTTAAGCCTTTTTAAAAAGTATTTTAAGATCGTTAAATAGCTTAAACAACAATTCTAAAAGTAAGTATCAATTATGGATTATTTTAGTTTTTAATGTTATTTATATAGTATTTTGATTATATTGATAAATAATAAATATTTATAATTTAATAAAGTATTTATAAATGATAAACTTGTTAACAATTGATATATGTATTTATGTAATATTTATAATAAAACCTTTATATAATCATTACACATGATTTTTAATATAATAGTAATTATATAAAAGTTACCTTTTTTACAGTCACATCTCTATAAAATCATCAATTTTGGCAGAACTGATTAAGTGATTATATGGAGGTCTAACTGTATTTATTTGAAAAAAAGGTATATTATTGCTTGATATATACATATTTTAATATATATTCTTCTATTGTGATATTATTATTAACATATTAAATATATTTTTGTAGATTAAAAATATTCAACAAGCTTGAGTTCAATGGAAAAATTTAAGGTGTATTAAAGCTTCTGAGTATAAAAACAAATTCTCATACAGATTAATAAATAGAAAAAAATATTATGGTGGATAAAGTGAGCAGTAGGCTGAATATAAATTAAAATACTTTTTTAAGATGCTATATAGTTTATACCTAATAATATTTATTTTTTATTTGTAGTCTCAATGCATTTAAAACTGAACAAAATTCTTTATTACAGAATGATTATCATGAAAGGGAATTTTTAGAAGATTATTTAGTTCTTATTTTTCAAGATGTATTAACACTTGATGAACATTTTTGAGTATCATAATTTATTATCATAATTGAGTCATAATTTTATTGTTACAAAGATAATAACTATTTTTTTAATTACTTTGTTACTGTGATAAAGGTAAAGTTATAATACAAACTTTTATATAAAGATGTAACATTAACAAAATTATTTTAGAAGAAAAGGTAAATTGTGATTATTTAACAGATTTGCTGTACTCTACTATATCTTATGAAATATTGTGTTTATTGGCATGTAGTAATTCACACAAAGTTGATTTCACAAAACTAGCATCTGATTAATTTAATCTTTCACAGCTCTTGAAAAATACCCTTAATGATATTTGAAAGAAGTATAATAAGAAGGATAAATTGTGTTTATATACAATATGACTTCAAATAAGTTATTATAATAAATAGTCTGAACTATAAAAAAAATTTGTCAATAAAAAAACATAATAGATTTCTTTTTAACAATATAAGTCAGAAGTTCGCGTTTATTTGATAGACTTATGTAATTTTTATCAGCTTTATTATCTTAAAATATTATATAGAAAGATTTTTAGGAAAATCAGGTTTTGAAATTTTTTCACTAAAATTAAAAGCTTAATATATTTTAATCTAATAATATCAAAAACTAAAATGCAATAAAAATCTCAATTTTGTTAAAAAATTCCTAAAACCTGATTTTTTTAGCAATCAACCTATATTTTTCTTTAATATTTTCAACTTATCGTAATTTACGTATTAGTTTAAGTTAAACATGAAATATCTAGATTTATAATAAATATAATATTTATAATTTAAACATCTTTATTTATTGCTAAATAATAAACATCATGTTTAGTTTACATGGCTTGGTAAATAATTTATTAGAGAAGCTGATTAATAATTGTGAAGAAATAGGTTCAGTTACTTCTCAACATTATTCAAATAATATGAACATGTTAGATACACCTAGTAAAATCAAAAGAAAAAAAATCCAAAAGTAATTTAAGTTAATTGGAATAGACAATAATTTCATAATTTCTTGTATTATTGTAAACATTTTATTTTAGATATGGGCACTTTACAGTCTAAAGGGAGAAAACTACCATCTTTTTGAGTTAATATTAAATCTGAATTTATTTTACTAAAAAAATAATATTTAGCTTAAAAAGTAAAAAAAAAAATTTTTTAGTAGTTTTCTCTTCTACTGCAAAGTACATATATAATAAACAAAATAATAACATTACATATTTTACAAGTGTTAAACTATATATTAATTTTATATATGTAATAGCATTTATAATACATTTTGATTACATATGTAATTTTTCATAGCAAAGTAATCAGCATTATATGCATATGATTTTATTTTTTATTTTGTTCATTATCAAATTTGAGACAGATTCTTACTAAGTAAAAAAATAATAGTGGAGAGAATATTGAAGATTTATGGTAAATAAATATTATAAATGCTATACCCAATATCTGATAGTTTGAATTTACTTATAATTAAGACTCTTAAAGCATTGAATCTTATGAACAGCATTATTATTTCCATATAAATGTAGATTAATTTCTACTAATGTAAAATAGATAGTTGTAATCTGATTCAAAAAAGACAATTTCAAATCCACTCACAGTTTTCATACTACCATATAATAATAATTAAAATAAAAAAGTATAGATTATTATTATATCATATAATTTAATATGAAAATTCTAGCCTATATATTTTATTTTTTTCTGTATCAATAAGTGTTCTGGTAGTTGATTATTATTTTAAATATTCAACTGATTTTTTATATAAAAGGTTATACACTAGACAATAAAAAATTTTTTTTGATCTTTACCATTAGTAACAGTTTTTTTCTATTCTCCAGTAGCAAAAGTATTTAACGTGAGCAATTGTTCATACATATATAATTATATTATAATCAGAGTTAATATTTTGCAGATCTTTTATAATATTAATTCATAAATTTATTCATACTAATTATCCTATCTAATCTCATTATAAACTTATTCAAAAGTAATTTTAGTAAATGAAAATAAATTTGTATTATTAACCTTGCATTCACTCATTATGTTTCTGATATTTCTATATTTTTTGCAATCTAATAATATCTAATTTCTACATGCTAAAGAAGTGACTACCACTATAAGAAATAATTACTACTTACGCTAAATACTTTTACAAGATTCTTATTTTTTTGACACTACTCTTGTGAAATTATTTGTATTAGAAGGTGAATTTGAGTGTCATTCCATTTTAGAGAAGACATTTTTTACATGATAAGAGACTAATGTGTATAAAAATCATATAAACTATAAAGATGTATAGTCACGTAAAGTCACAGATAGGACCTTAAGTCTTATATGTGATCAAACTATTCTTCAATTATCCAAATTTACAAAACAGTAAAGCTTCGAGATAAAATTTATACTATAAGATATAATATGTTTAATCTTACCCACTCTAATTTTCTGAAATAAATTATAAATCTTTATAGCTCTTTGAGTTTTTTTACGTAAAGTATCTTTAGTAAATTCTTCAGGAAGATGTTCTATTGTATCATCATATACTTAGTTTCTAGCTGATTGAATTCTTTAATATAAAATCTTTTCTTAATTACACGTATTTTTATATAACAAACTTTTTGATACAAGTGAGCTAAAGTCTTTAGCATTGAAAACCCTAATAAGTATAGATAATTTTTACAACATATTTTGTTCACAGTTGATTTTGAAGGTTGATTGTTTCGATAAATTTTTTGATAAATTTAATAATGGCTAGATTTGAGTAATGATTAAAGCAAATAATATAATGTAAACTAACTGTAAAATTACGTAAAATATCATAAATTTTATATAAAAAAGTTTTCCTGATGAGCCCTTCTAGACTTCTAGAATTAGTAATTTTAAAACTTCAAAATTTTTTTAAGAGCTATTTAACATCCTTAAAATATAATTACAGATACAGTTAAAGCTTACTATAGCGAATTTCTATATTCTGATTTTTTTATTACTGCAAATTATATAAGTAGTCCTAAATTTTATTAAATAAAATAATTAAATATAACAAATTTTATAATAAAACTTACTATTATGTATAACAAATTAAAAACCTGCACAAAGTACAGTCAAACCTCGATATACCGATATAATATATAACGATATTTGCTTATACTGATAATTTTTTTTCTCCCTGTTTTACTATTAATAAAAAAATCTTATTATATCGATATCTTATATTATTTCGCGATATAACATATACTGATATTATCTTTTAGTCCCATATATAGTAACATATTAGAAAATCTGATTTATAAATCGATAAATCAATATGCTAACTATTTAAGGTTAGATCAAATGCATGATGCTCAATTTTTC